GCACTCAGAGAGCATACGTTAAGCAATAAACTTGATCGATCCTAAATAATATTTCATAGAAACATTCTCCCACATATAGGAGAAGACGTTTCATTCTTATCGCCTAACATTTTATATATCCCTCTATCTTTCTCATTCTCTCTCTCTTTTGCACCGCCTAAGCTGAGAGGCTTGAGACATAGCTTATCTATATCATATACATATATATATATCTATATATTTTATATATGTATATGCCACAAACTTGCTGAACAGTTCGTTACGCCCACATCTACCGTATAAGAAGTGAAAAAATTGAAAGGCTTTTATAGGCAGCTGGTGGGGGCGCTGCTTCAACAGAAGCTGCTAAATTTTTTGGCAATTCAATTGATGGCTGGCTTCGCTACGCCCCCTCGCCCTCGCTGCGCCCCATCAGTCTACACAGCCTAACAAAACTGTGGCACGACCTCGGGGCGTTTGCTTTTAAATGCGCCGTGCCACTTGACGGATGTTTCCTGCTTCTGCTCCAGCTCCTGCGCCAGTTCGTGCTGCCGCCACCTTAGCCCCCCTCTCCCCCTGCCGTAGCTAGTGGGGCCGCGTGCATTGCGTGGTTTATTAGCTGATCCCACCGGCTTGACAAGCCACTTTTGACGCGGCCCCATCCAGCTGAGCAGGAAGTCTTAGGCGGTAATTTACTTTTCAGTGCCCCAACTGGCAAATTATGCAAGACTTTCAGGCTTCAGCCCATCAGCCTTCAGACTTTAGCCTTCAGCCTTCAGTTTTCACCGTTCACCGCTCAGCGTTCAGCGTTCAACGTTCAACGTTCAACGTTTGGCGTTCAACCATCAGCGCTTAGCTGTCCGCCTTCCGCCTCCCGCCTGCCGCCTTCCGCTTCGCCTTCTGTGAGTTAGAGCTTTTGCGACAGCCTTGATGAAGAACCACTAAAATTCTTCAAAAGATTCGCAGCCATGATTTTTGTTTATGGCTGACTCGATGACACGCCGCTTGGAGTGATTACATAAAGGAAAGGAAATAAATGGCGTTTGGGGCTAGTTTCTGAAACTCATTTGCGTTGATTTCAGTTTGCCATGTAAATAGTTGGTTCGTGCTCCGCTCCTTGGCACTTGAAGCTATTTGCATTGATTTAAGCTGCGAAAGCTTTGTTAAGATTTGCCAAGATTCTGACTCAAGTCTGTCGAAGCTTGGCTTAAGATTTCTAACAAAAATTCGCTTTGAATTTAGTTTTGCTTCAATTTAAATTAAATTTGTAATATAATCTCATAAGATTATAAAGCTTATCTACCTTGAAAACTCTTGAGGTACTGCAAGTTTTACACATGCTTGAAAATAACTCCAATAAGCCTTTTCACATTCAGTTTCAGTTTCAGGGCGGCAACTTCAACTTCTCATCTCAAGTTTCACGCATTCTAAATTTTTTTTTTGTAATTTTCATAATGCGCATGGCTCCGCACTGCAATGATTGGTGGAAAGTTGAAGCTTAAAGTGTCTTTCAGGTTTCTTATTCCATCAAAGTTTGGAGCCTCAGTCACAGTCAAGCAGTCAGGATTAAGTTCATCCTGGGTGCCAACTCGGGTCTCACCTTTCGACTGTCTCACCTGGAGCAAACAATTTCGACACGTGCGGGCTTCATTATTTGCCAAAATTGTCAAAGTTTTTTGCCGTTTGATGCGGGCGAGGCCAAGTGTGAGGGGCAATGACGAATCAGAGTTGGGGCTAAATGCTTTCACTTTTATGATGCTTTTTATTTAGTCAATGACTTTGACGTCGACAACTTTAATCGAAAACAATTGGAAGCTCCGCCCGAAAGAGCACAAAAAAAAAAAAATATATGTGTATATAAATAAATATGTGCTGGCGTTGTTGAGGGCCTGGTAAGGTGAGCATTTGAGTTTGCGTTTGCGTTTGCGTTTGCGTTTTGCTTAATGCCGCGTAAATTGTTTTGGCAGCAAAAGTTTTGCGCATTTCGCGTTATCCTCCATTTACATATTAACCCCCACCCCCCCCCGCCCGGGCACTGCGGGCCATTGCCTAAAAATAGTTTTCAATTAGTGTTGTGGCGCCTGGAAACTCAATCCCTGCCTCCCCTCCCTACCCCGCATCCAGCCATTACCTTGGGGAGTTGTACTTAAGTTTATTTGGGCAAAACTTTTGTTTAGCTCAGCGCAAATTATGCGCATTTTTATTGTAGCACAAGGCGAACACACACTCACACACACACACACACACACACACACATGCACAAGCCGCCCTTAAAATTGTTTGTTATTTGTTATTTGTTTATCTGCGGCCAAGTTTCCAGTATATTAAAGTACAAAAGCCAGAGAGTGGAGCGAAGACTCTTAACTGAGTAATCATTTATGGTTTTTATGTGGCTGCTGGGCCTTTACAGATTTTTACTGCTGATTCATGCGGCTAGCATCAGCAGTGGGCGCTGTGAGGGGGGAGGGGGACAGGGATGTGGAAGGGGTCTTGGGCACATAGGTCAGGGATTGGTTTCTATGCGTTGGCATAAATCATGACCAGGCTCCATTGCCGGTCACATTTGCTGTGCCATATTTTTATTTTATTAGACCTTTTCTACCTCTATTCATATATATATATATATATATGTATATTTATATATATACATTCGTATATATTCTCATGTGAATGACTGCTGCAGTCGCTGTGTCCACATATTGTGCATAAATCTTTAATATTAAGTAAACATCCATATAAATTTAAATTTATTGCTCGCTGCGCATTAGCCCGTATATGTCGGCACAACATGCACAATGCTCGGCTTAGAGCCGGCCTGCTATGCCTGCTGCTGCTTTGCGGCGACTTTAAGTTAAATGGAAATCTATGGCTTTATGGCTTATACACTTTGGTTCTGGCTGCCGAGCTCCCGGCGATTGCGGACCACAAATCCCACTTGTTAACGGGGGAGCTGGCAGCAGAGTGAAGGATTACGCTGCCTCTAGCTGAGGCTCAGGTTAGAGTCAAAACGCTAGACTGAATGGGACATTATTTATATTTATTTTTGAATAAAAATTGATAATCACATTGCTCTTATTATTATTGTCATTATCATTAATTATTATCATTATTATTAAAAAAAATAAAAAAATAAATAAATAAAAATACTTTATTTTTCTCAATATAATTGTCATTATCTTTCTCGTTATCGTTAGTTTTTAGCCTAAAAGCTACAGTAGAATCCGGTTATAACGACTCCGTACGGTTATGGCAATGAAACTTCTCATCCCTCTTCATTATTAAGAAACCCGTACCCGGAATTAAAGAGCTCCCTCAAATTCCGCGTAGCTAAATAACGAGCTACATACAGTTAATAATTGCCAAGTTGTTAGCTAACAAAATGCTCATTGTCATTCCTCACAGGCGATATGAGAAGTTGGGGAAGAAGTAGTAGTAGTGGCTGAAAGACCCTCAAAATGTCAACAATTGGCCTTGTTAGTTAGAGCTTGATTTAAACTCGTCGTGGAGTGGAGTCCTCTACGAAAATTTCCTTTCCTTTTAACAAAGCAAAAGGAACATATGCCAATCAAAAGCCAGGCAAAAAAAAAAAAAAAAAAAAAAAAAACAAAAA